TCCCTACATCTATTTTAAGAACCTAGATATAGCCTAAACATTAAATATTTGTATATTCTTACAGTTGGCTGTCTAAACTAAATTTTAGAGTAATCAACAGATAAAAGATTTGCTGAGTAGCTGTAAAAGTTGCAAACCCAAATAGCTGTATGTGTTCCATGCCCAAAGTATGTCATGGATTATCCTGTTTATTTGGATCTTATTTAAAGAACACCCTATTGTCTCAAAATCATTTAACTGTGCAGACAGCTGGCCTATTCAAACAACATGTTTTATTAGAATTCCTCTGTCCTTCCTCCTCCATTCTTTCAGATGGGTACAACCACATACTGTGCTTTGCCTTAAGCATGTAAGCTCTTCAAGGCAGGGACCATCCATAATTCAATGCAAGTAAAATAGCCAACACAATGGGATCCAGAAAATGTTTGAAACTCCTAGCATCTAACTGTAGGACAATTTGCTAGCTTGGACTGGCCTGATTTTTAAAAATCCTTAGGAAGCTTTCTCCCAGGCTGGAAGGTTGGTTTAAAGTTTACTGTAAAAAAAGTCAAGAGTTGCACATGTGTTTTAATTGTTCACATGCTAATGACATTTAAGATAAATTACCATTTCCCTTTGAAAACTCACACAAACCAAGATTCACATTTTATGGGGAATCCCAGTGAGCAAATAAAAATCCTCCATGCTTAAAGGCATGACAGAATATGCAAAATTTCAAGTCCATCCCTTATAAAGCAGTTCCAAGTTTACATATTAATAAAGTGGCATTTTTATTTTTGCTAGATACAACTTTTATTCTAGTAAGATCAAGAGGGGAAAAAGCAAGTAACACTTGTATGAAGGCACTGAACTTCAATTTATGATTTGTATCATACTGGATATTCTATGTGGCATGTAAGAAGTGTGTAAAGAAGTGAGAGCTTTCCGTTAGCTGAGGAACCTGAAGAAATGTTTAACATGACAGACAGCATTGCTGTGCTTCTGTACACCACAGCAGATATTGAACCAATAAAAAAAAACGTGTTACAAGGGCTTTTACTATGCAAAACAGATCACAAAGTACAAAACTAACAACCAGCTATTCCCAGTATTGTTCAAAGACCAGCTTAAACCAGCAGGCTCTACAACAGCATGCTCCATCCCCCTCACCTTATTTACAAAAGAAAGGCTGCTTGCTATACCAATTACCTCAGTAAAACACAGCTAAGGTTTCTGAAGAACTTACCGTTGATTTCGAAAGGGAACAAGCTGCCACTTTTGTTCAGCTTCTCAGATGAGTACTGAAATCAATCAGAAAAAAAAAGTTTTAACTGTGAGAAAGAGTCAGCATACACCTCAAGGAAATTGTGTGCAGTTTTCAGTTTCCCTATAAGTGCATTTAAAAACGTCTTTAAAAGGACAGGGTTTTGCTAGGTATCTTGAAATTCCTGAACAGCTGATCATTATAAATAAAACCTCTGGCATCTAGGTTTTTGTCATGTTTTCTGATATACTGCTAAGTATCACAAAAACTGTTTCAAAAGCTGCAACATTAGCCCATGCGAATAAACTGCAAAATTAAGAGCAATAATTCACCCTTAATGAAAAAGCTTTGATCCAATTCTCATTTTAGTGGTGAGGAAATTATGCTCTAACAATTGGGTTCCATTTTCAATCTTAAGGCTAAATGGCAAAACACTTCATCTTAAACTAAGAGACAGGAATAGCTTTATCCAAATTAAATATACAAGCTCTTAATTTGGGACAATCAGGCTTTACTTGTACTTTACATTTTCTTATATTCAGTATAAGAAAATGTTTTCTTACTTCTTAAAAGTAAAAGTGCCATTAAAAAAAATTTTTCCTATCCAAAAATCATCTTTTGCAGACTGACAGTTTTTGAAGTAACAGTTCATTGATGACGGTTCACTAGTTGGAAACAATGTAAAAGCCATGCTTAAAACAAGGTTTGTGTGTAAAGGGCTTCAGAACTTGTGATTATGCTTCATCAGCAGCATCTGCACAGTAAGACAAGTTTCTATGTAAAATGTTTTCTATTTTCTTAACTAATTTTACCTAGAAAAATATTACTACAAAGGCATTCTTAAAGGGTCTAGATTTCTCAGACCAAGAATAGAGCTTGCTATCCACCCTCCTATGAAGCAGTTATAAATAAATAGCTTAAGGCTCTGTCAGAGCCCAAGGGTCATTATTTATTTCCCCATCACCACCTCAGGCTGGAGAGGAAGATTGCTTCAAGAGAGCAACACACTTTATGTGAACACTGCTTTTTGTGTATAGCCAAAGAAGATAACATTGTACATACACTTCCTTTCCAGATACAAAGTCAATTTTTAAACAAACATCCTTGGGCTACAAAGCTTTTATTTCTTGCTGTATAGCAGCACACAGAGTGCTAGTGACAACTTTATATCCTTGAGCCCCACACATAAGATACAAACGCTAAGCTATGGTAATATTCCCTCAGTGTTATTGTTTTAGAGGTAGGAAATAATGGCACTGATGAAAGGATAGGACAGCAATCAGACTTTTTTAATCTTATTTTTTATCAACGTCTGCATATCAGACAAGCCATTTGATTTTTACTTGACATTTCCATCTGTAGATGCATTTATAACTTCCTTTTAATGAAGGCTACTTTAAGTAAACAGCAGAACCCCCAGTTTGAATCTCCATCAGATTTGCAGTTAATTAGCCCTATTCAAACCATCTGAAGTCTGCAACTTGACAGCAGGAGCAGCACTTGTACCACTTTGCTTTTCATAACTGCAGTTGCCAGTTATATAGTATACACTTTTTAAAACCTAGTATCAATCGTTTCAACAGCTACTAAGGTATCATACAGAACACAAGAGCACATTAAGATAACAGTAATAGTTACACTTCAGCTGTCCCTGAAGGAGAAACAAACAAATTAGAGACTTAAAGATAACGTTTTTTCAGCAAATTCCTCCCTCTCCAGTTTTCCCGAAATGAAAGCCAATACTAACCTATTCCACTATCAGCTAGTAGCTAAGGAAAAGAAGTTTTTGGAACAGAATTCTGTGTCAAACTGCCTTAAAGCTAACAGGTCTTGAAACACATGGAAAATGGCAGTAAGAATGACTTAATCATAACGTAGTAATTAGGAATGTTTAATAGACTATTCACACAGGCTAAGATCTTTGATGCTTACAAGGAACAGAATCATAGAATCACAATGGTTTGGGTTGGAAGGGACCTCAAAGTCCATCTAGTTCCAACCCCCCCCGCCATGGGCAGGGACACCCTCCACTAGACCACGTTGCCCAAAGCCCCGTCCAACCTGGTCTTGAATACTTCCAGGGATGGGGCATCCACAGCTTCTCTGGGCAACTGTGCCCGTGCCTCACCACCCTCACAGGGAAGAATTTCTTGCTAATAGCTAATCTAAATCTCCCCTTCTTCAGCTTAAGGCCATTCCCCCCTTGTCCTATCCCTACATGCCCTTGTAAACAGTCCCTCTCCACTCTTCTTGTTGGACTTGATGATCTTAAAGGTCTTTTCCAACCAAAATGATTCTATGATTCTTGTAGGCCCCGTTACATACTGGAAGGCTGCTATAAGGTCTCCCTGGAGCCCTCTCTTCTTCAGGCTGAACAACCCCAACTCTCTCAGCCTGTCCTCATAGGAGAGGTGCTCCAGAGCTCTGATCAAGAGCCTCAAGAACAATCCCATGTGGCAATTATTAGATTGATACTTAGTTTTTACAATTAGTTCTCAGCCAAATGTACCTTTAACAAGGTTTTCTTCACAAATGTTTAAGTTATTTGATTACCTGTGCTTTAACCACCTCAAAAAGCCTTGTCTATCAGATGGAGACTAAACTACTACATCTTTGAAAGCTGCAAAGCACTGAAAGCATTTTTCAAGGGGGGCATGAAAGAAGCAGGATCACATACACACAGATCGTCTGTACTACAGAGAACTGTAATGTTCTCTAACCCAGACAGCAACCCCGTCGTTACAGCTATTTCTGATCAGCTTCTAATGAAGTCAATGCTCAGTTCTATATTAGATATTACAACCACAACCTGTTCTCTTAAGTGATCATTTATACAGAATCCTGTTAAGTTACAAGAAAAGCACTAATTCTTTGGAGATTCAGACCAAAAACCCTAAGAAAGTCACACATGACATCATATGTGGAAAAAGGACGGTAGTCTGCACTATTTCCAGTAAAAGCTCAAGGCAGTGAAATAAGGGTTACTAAGGGGAGAATAAGTATAGAATCTTCTTTATGATATATAGTTGGCTTTCACTAACTGAAACTAAAAATACTTGGACATACTATCTGGTAGTGTATTTTAATGATATCTAGAAGTACAAACTTGAGTAGACCCTATCAGGCTGTAAATTGTTTATAGGAGGGAGGATCTTTTTATCTATACAGCACATGGCAGAAGTCCCACTAGATATTACTGTAACAGGGCACTGAACCAGTTTATCAGCTCTCCTGGGCTGGCTATGCTCTACCCTCCCCCATTCATTCCCTTTGTGCTATCATCTACCTGAAGCTTCCTTAACGAAGAGTGCTTTTTTTATGATTATGAACGAGAAGATACTGCAACTGCTAAGAACCTTGACAGGGAAGTCTGCTACCCTCTGCGTGAAGGAAGTCTTCCTTAGAAGAAGGCCAAATTATTCAACAAGGTCATTTCCCTGAAGAAGAAACTCAAGGGGTCACGCACGTTCATCTTCCAACCACTGCTTTTTGAATATATCTTAAAAAAAGCCACCAAGATCTGATGCCTCTTGAGAACTTTCCAGGAAAAGAAAAGCACATTTTAAGACAGAGACACACAAAACAATGAAACTACAAGTTTCGCTGAAGGTTGGAATTATTTGCTTCATGCAAGAAAGTGGACCTATTTTGAAACGCTTGTTCAAAAGTAGAACTTCTTTTGTGCATTCGAAGAGACAATGCTCAAAAGGAAAGGAATTGCGTGGCATGACATTTAGGACAGTGCTGCAAGTTTTGGTTGGTTTATTGAGCCTTAGCAGCTGTTCTTTTGTTAAAATATTCACTTAGCAAGACACTTAGCCTTGAACTGAGTAAATGGAAGAGGCACGCAAGTGAGTGACAATGAATTATAATTTACATCAGAAATTTAGAAAGTGTTCTTTGCTAGCAAAAACCCAACTGTAACAAAAATAACTCTGGCTGTTCTACATACACTCCAATCTACTACATTAAGAACTTCACAGCCTGTGCTATATCCCCCTGGTTATTCTCAGAATGACTTCTTGATCTTCATAATTTAAAATTTAATTTCTTTATTTTCAAGACATTTTCTCCAGTTTCCAAGTATATTTGAGTTCCTCCAATTTATCAGCATTCTTCCCAAACCACAGGAAAGCCAGTGTTTGTTACTGAAGTACTAATTTAACCATCACCAGAGAGACGTGACTTTCATTGTTTGAATGGGCCATGCCAGATCTCCATCTCTACCAAATATCTTCCAAACATGACTAGATAGGAAGTAGTCAGAAGCATTTGACCTCTTCTCAGAATGTGAAGAAGTGATTGAGTCAAGTCACATCTTAGACTCAGCCCTCAAGTCTTTCAGCTAGTGGCTTTTTCCATCCAAGGAAGTCAGCCCAATTCTAAGTCTTTCAACACATATCAGCTTCATAAAAAAATAAAAATAGTGGAAACCCACATGCGTAGAAGGGGTTATAGAAGAACTTCTTCATTCCACAAATGCTTGTCTGGAGATGCTTGCATTTCCTTCTTAATATCATGCCTTGAAGTCTTGCATCTCACACTTCATAAACCAATACTAGCTTCTACACAAATACCCAAAAAATACAAGCTTAGCCAGAACACGCAGAAAAACCCTCAAGACTCTTAAGATTCAAGAGATCTAAGTTGGCCTCTATTTCTTTGAACAATTTGATTTAATAATGCTGTCAACTCATGAAAGCCATGGGATGCTCGCAGAACATCTCACTGTTGTGAGGTAGTCAACCAACCAGGGATACTATTCTACCTTGTGAGCTGTCATGCCCACTTGAGATAAAACCTTAGAACAACCTTCCTGCTTCTATAGCAGGAAACCAAATAATTTGTTTTTTCTGAAGGCAGGTGCAGCACAAGACTGTACAAGGTAACTGAGCACACACAGGCCAAATGAATGACACCAGCTTGGAAAATTAGCATGTCTTCTAACAGAGCAGTAAAAGATGCTACAACCAGTGTTTTACAACATACTCAAGCAACAGGTGAATGATCTCCCCCTGTCCTTATCTTGACCCATGAGCGTTTTATTGTATTTTCTCTCCCCTGCCCAGTTGAGGCATGGAGTGATAGAGCAGCTTTGGTGGGTGCCTGGTCTCCAGCCAGGGTCAATGCATCACAGAAAGGTACTTGGTCATCATACAGCTTACACAAAGAGGCATACTATGTCCTGCACATGTTGTCCTTATGCCCAGCTTGGCTAGCTAGAAGGTAAATAGCTTTGAAAGAGGTATTTATTCTTTCTTTTACAACCCTCATTCGTGAGTTGTGTTACAGAATAGTTTTTCCCCAGCTATTTTATCTATTTGTGCCAAGACCAGCACTTGCGCAGACGCACTGTAAAAAGTATCAGGACACTGATAAGGGTTAACATTAACCTGGGCAAGAAAGGTGAGTCTTAATCCTCAGTCAGCTCACAAGATGATTCACCCCACGGTCCCACAGAACTTTGTGCCAGCACAAGTAATGAAAGGTGCAGGCAAGACCATCTCACAATTGCTCTAAATCACTGTTGCTACTAGAAGAAACTACGGCCTTAACCTGAACTTCTTGCCCAGAATTCTTACATGCTACAGCTGATTCAAGACCTCCACTGGCAATCTTCTTCCCTTATTAAAATTTAGCAGTTGTCTTTACTAGTAGAAAAAGTGTACTTTTTATCTTAGGTTCACATGCTAGTTGAGAAGCCATCATTTGCTCCTGTGAATCCTTTTTAGGAGGGAACAACCTAAATGCACGCTTATTCACACTTGCTTCTCCATTTCCACACCTCACTTTCCACACTTCTTCAAGCTGCCGTTGTGTACAAACAGAACCTGTTCCTGGCCTCAGAACCCATTTTCTGCAAGAACCAAAGCATTTATAAAACAAATTACTTGATAGATTAATGAAGGAGAAGAACAGAAGGGTAGGGATGAAACCACTGATGAGACATCATATGCCATCTTCCACTCATTTTTTTCATGCTGTATTGTACATACAGATAAGGACAGGAATAAAAAACAACCAACCTACAACACATTACAGCATGCAACCGCACTCCTGTATAGATTCCACACAGTGTAAGAGAACTAATACATCCTTCTCTGCTCTTACAAGTCTCTGGTCCAAGATCTATAGTGGCTGTCAGTAAAAGGACAGCTCAGTTTCTGAATTTATGCAAACTTTGGTGCCTCAAAAACTAGAAATTACAAGATGCAACTACAAGTTTAGAGGTAAGCACTGCTACTGGTGACAGATTATCATTGGCTCACACCTGGGCCCAGAGTTTAGTTACAAGTGATGAGTTTGCCAGTTCGGAAATACAGCAGATTCTCCTACAAACTGCAAATCTCAAGTGTTTCATCAAGCTAGCTGAAATAAACACAAGCTGAGTCAGCACTTCTAAGACAGTTAACATTCTTCCAAGACCTTACACCTGCCTGTCAGGAATAGCACATATTTAAGGTGAAGATAGTAAAAACAAGTTATTAGAAGAACTCTAAATAGACCTGTTACAGTTTTAAAAATAAAAGCATCTTATTGATATTTACTATTAAAACATCCTTATTGGACAAAGGGTCAAGCACTTCACATATGAGAACTGCAGGTGCTTGTGCACAAACTCCACCACACTCAGGATATGTTTCACCAGGTTTGGGCTTGTGAAATAAGTAAGGAAGCAGTTCAGCTACTTAAGTACAAATTACAACAGAGGCAGAATCTTAAAGTAACTGAACATGCTTCAGGTTCAACGCTTGCATAATTATTTTAAAAAATAACAGAATTAGAGTTGAACAATACTTCAACATTTCATCAAATCAATTTTTTTCTGGTGTCCCACTGGTACCCTAGAGTTTGACTTATAGAATGCTGCCATTACAATTAAAGTCAGTGAAATACGGCTAGTGCATTACATGAAGAATACAATCTCAGGGTTCTTAGGTGGGCACCCAAAATTGATGGGAGACTGTTTTGCATTACTCACTCTGGAGTAGATTATTCTCTTCACAGCTTACTTGTGAAACGAGATTGATTCCTTATCTGAATAGTACACTTGAACCACACCATGGACCCACAGATTAAATGAGCAAAAAATACCCAGTAAATATTACAAAACTTCTCAGAGCACCAGGCACCTGACACACTGATAAAGTAAGGATCTACTAGCATCAAAAACACTCTGGTAGTCAGCAACCTGACTTTTAGCTCAACTGTATTTACTTGATGGCCACATACCAGTACTTGTGTTTTTTTGTTAGGGAAAAGAGAATCCTCAGAAATTTCAATAATTCTTTTCAGTCATTAGAACACTTTATTCTGTGAAGAGAACAGGCTTTTCGCTATTTAAAATGAAGCTGTAATGTTAAAGAGAACATTAGAATAAGAAAACATCACTTCAAGAAAGAGCACGCACTGAAGTTTCACTTTTTTCCCCCCTTACAATTCTCATCTACCTTGCAAACCAATTCTAACCTAAATTGCTGAATTCTGCCTGATCTATACTCTTGAATTTGTTATATAGTTTTGAGTTACTCTTAATCTACTTTGCATTTCACATTTATTACATGTTATTTTGGTAGGTCCTTACCAGATTAATACTGTATGTTTTACAAGTCAGATCATCCAAGCTCTGGTTCTGCAGCTTTTCTGTTATTAGTGTTACCATGGTAGTTGCTCCTTTTCCACTGCTCACACGGAAGTGTTGGATGTTCTTCAGTCTCTTCTTTCAACACTCATGAGCCATTTCTGTTTTGGTTTAAAGTCTTGAGATTTATGCTTCCATCTTATTGCCAAAGTCTATTTCCAAATGCTGTCAGTGTATCATGTCTGATTTTCTGTAAAATTGAGGCAGAAAAGAAGGAAAAGTCAGGAAAAAAAATCTTTTGTGCATCACAGTGTTGCAATAACAAGACTTGTGTTTAGGCCATTCGTTCGTGTAAGTATATGACTGACCAATTCTATTGCCTGGCATTTCAGATTACATGTCTCTATTCAGGAAAGAATACTTCTATTGAGATTTCATTGATTACAACTTCAGAAGGGAGGTGAGACTCATACATAGCAAAGATCAGGGTATTATTTGGCCATTTCCTACTATTAAACTCATTCTACCTAGGATTTTTATCCAAGGCAGAAGGAAAGACTTCAGTTTTCCCTCATTTAAATTATTACTGAAGTCTTGGCCAGGTGTACTACAACAGCACACAAAACATGCAGGTACCTATCATGCTGTTCTGTATGTTTAGCACTATTTGCCACTTTAAGACATTCTACCATATTGTTTCATCACTAAATCCTTTTGAAAAAGAGCGGAGCAGCAGATAGCTCAAATGCTCTATCCACTTTCCAAACCCTCAGCTACTTTTAATATATTCCCTGTGTTTTTTGCTTTTTTAAAGGTTATGTAATTGCTACCTGTCAGCAAACACCAGATCTTAAATTTGTAAGCAGGACAGATTACCATACACGTAAAAGCATCGCTGACAAAAGCTTAGACATCTTTGTTCTGTGAGCAGTCATCTAAATCAAAAGCAGTAGGTTCACCAGCTGCCTCTATATCTTAAACATCCTCTACATAATTGCTTCCCCCTTCTCTCTCTCCCCTCAGCATCACTAACCCTTAACTGCTGCAGTATCATTCCTTGCTGTCTTCCAAAAGTCTTTATTAGCTGGTTATTTTTACCACAGCAAATGGAGCACTGTACTTTCTTCAACTCCACCTCATTCTTCCAGTTCTCAAGAACCAGAACAAATCCACAGGACTTCAGCTTCTTCATTTTCCTTCTTCTATTATCAAGTCTTTCAGACTCACCACAGTTCTCAAATTCACTTCCAATTTTCAAAACCAAGTCTACACTAGTATTAATTGCAATTTCTTTACAGTACCTTCAAACTCCTCTTCCCATAACTTTACCTGTGTTAACAAAAACATCTTTCCTCAACTCATGCTGATGATCCATTAGTGACACGAATCAACCATTCTTGTTTACAATTCAAGTTGGTTGAGCATATTCAGTGACTGCTTATGGAATTAAAAAAAAAAAAAGGAAGAGATCCACACACAGGCATTTACAAATTTAAGCAAAGCAACATGAACCTTGGAGAAGGAACACTGATGCTGCTAGGATCAAAAGTTTACTTCCATTTGCTAGGTTTTAAAGTCTACAGTAAAAAAAAACCCAGCAGAATAGCAGGAAATAATAATTTTAAATGAATGTTTCCATAAAATATCACCTCTTTTCCACATTGCTATTTATCAGCTGTTTAAATAACCAGTAGTAGCAAAAAAAAGTCACTTGAGTCCATGACCCAAGTTAAACCCATTTAAAACTAAGATATAGTAGTATTAATGGTAATGTTAGATTATCTTTTAAACCTGTTGCCTTTGAGTACATCCTCAAACATGATTTTCATATGCTAACCATACACTATTTCACCTTCACAGAAGCCTGCTACATTACAGCCTCCTTTAGCCTGAGGGCTGTCCCACGATCCTAATTTCTGCCCAACTTTTGGCCTCATTCTATCTATTTTTATTTGCTATAAGGTATAATGCTTACCACTGCTCCTCAACCATAAATAATGCTACCCAGGTATCTGAAGATTCCACTGGTCTGTTTTCACTGAATGTGTCCAGTCTTTCAGGAAAGGACCCAACAACTTGTAAATATTTACCACATCTTGTTCTGAAATTACACCAAGTCAAATATCAAAAACACTGAAGTTCACACTCACTGGTAAAAGTTGTGTATGTAAGCATTTGCCAAAGCAAAGCGTGGTTCATGAAATGCTATGTAAGTTTAAGGGCAAGTGTGTGAACAATAGTATTTAGAGCAGCATGATCAAACATTGTAATGTCCCTTTTAAACCTGGTGAAGTTTAAACCAAATCTGGAAATCCAGAATAAGAGTCAAAAGAAAGGCTGACTGGGGGTCAGAAATTGTCCAGATACAGACTGAAAATACACTGAAGCTGAGGAGCTTAGTAACTGGCACAAAGACTTTCAGATTCATTTTAAGGATTAAGATTTCTACAACTAAGAGGCTACTATTAAGAACCAGCTGAAAAG